CACACTACATACTACTGCATAGTAATTTTTTTGGTCTACTATAGTACTTCTGAATCGCGAACAAGTCACAACATTACTTAAGTATTATGTAGTACAATCTAGAATTACACGTTATTACTTGTATATGCCAACACCAATACTGAAATCTACCACTTCCACGAGTTCCTGAACAAACAGCTTGTAGTTTCCACAGCTTTTTTTTTACTCAACGTTTGCGATAGGCGATTAGACGGGAAAATTTCCTGTGGAAATTATCGTGAGGATGGGCTGCTGTTTTGTGTGCTCGCAGATGAGTTCGATAACACCTGAGCAGTGTATGTTTTCTCACGACGTCTACCATCACGAGCGTGCACCATAAGCGGGGAACTGCCACCACTAGTAACGATAGCGGCTGAGCTGCTTCTATCGAGATAGAGAATCGACAAGGCGAGCGCCGCGTTGTGTCTCTGCGCGTCATTCCCCTCTTTCAATAATTTCACGAACGCTCGAATGCCTCCAGCTGCTGTTATCGCCACTTTATTCTCTGGATTCATCGCTAAATTCGACAACGCAAGCGTAGCCATCTCCTTAAGATCGTCATTGCCGTCCTTCACCAGCATCAACAACGCAGAAATTCCTCCAGCAGCAGCGATGGCTACTCGGTGGGCTGGATCCACCGACAAATTCGCCAATATCAGCGTTGCCTTCCTTCTCACTGATGTGCTGCCTTCCCATAGTAACGCCATTAAAGGCGGGATAGCCCCAGCTTGAGCAATCACGGAATTGTACGAGTTTGATGACAAAATTGCCAGAAACGTGGTGGCGTTCTGAATTACAGATTCACTACCGTTGCGTATCATCGCCACAACAGCAGCAACGGTGCCTGGAGCTGCCAGCTCAGCTGTGACTTTACTAGAACTGTCCGCAATATTCGACAGCACCAATAACGAACTTTTCTTCTGAGAATCAATACCACTTTTTATCAGAGCCACCATCGCAGCGATGCCACCTGCGTCTGCAATAGCAAGCTGGCAGCCCAGAAGTGTCGAAAGGTTCGTCAATACACTCACAGCTCTCGTTTTGTGAATAGTATTCCCCGTCCGCAACAGCTCAATTAGAGGTGGTATAGCGTTAGCTGCAGCAATTCTCATTCGGTTCTCCTTAACCATCGAAAGATTCCACAATGTACCAGCAGCAACCTCTCTAGAGTATTCCCCAACACTTCTCAACTGCTTGACCAAAAGAGGGATCCCTTTAGCAGCTACAATTTCCGCTTTGCTGGTATCATTCGCCGATAGAGCCCACAACGCCGACAAGGCGTTCACTCTCTCGCCAACTGCACCACTACGTATCAGCTGTACCAATGGGTTGACCCCATGAGCGCCAGTTATCGAGACTTGGTTCTTAGCGCTAGTCGCTAACGAAGCCAACACTCCAGCCGCTTTTTCTCTCTGACTCGAACTACCATCCCGTACCAACGTTATCAACGGTAAGATAGCGCCGGATTCAGCGATTTCCGCTCGGTTATTGCTGTTCATACACAGATTGAATAACACCGACACTGCGTGTTCCTTCTGAGCCCCATTGCCGACTCGAATCAGCTCCACCAAAGGCGAAATCCCGCCAGAAGCCACGATTACTGCCCTGTGTGAAGTTTGTGTGGAGAGTTTGGATAGTATAAGCGCGGCTGCTGTCTTTTGGCCTTTGGTTCCATGCTGTACCAGCGTCACTAACACTGGGATGCCACCGGAATTGGCGATGATGCGTTGATGCGCTTCATTCTTTGACAGCTGTGCCAAGGTGGAGACGGCTTTCGTCTTGTCAT